TGTCAGAGTGTATTATTTCGAACCTATTCAAGTTATCGAAGAACGAATGAACTTGCTATTTGGTTTATATTTCTTGGAATTGCTTAAGACAATTTTTATTTTGCATAAAAATGATCTAATTATATAATATAATATATAATTGTATAATATAATATATAATTATATTATATAATATAATTTATGTAATTTATAAATTATTTACAAATTTATTATAATATATTTTATATAATTATATATTATATTAATATATAATTGTATAAATCTAATTGTAACCGAAATCGTACGAACTCAGAGGAAATCCAATCTTCCATTTTTACGAAACACTTGCTATTCTCACAGTACACTATAAATTAGGGCTCAATAGTTCTAGCGTAAATCATTTGCAATTGTCTTACCGGAGTGACTATCTAGGGCAATCGTAAATTTGAAAATTCTCTGTATCGACGCAAGTGTCACGAAAACTGCTCCAGAACCTTTTGTAGAAACGTTCTCGATCCGACCTTGAAGAAGGGCCGACAAAAGGGGTAGCGGCGCAGCTCAGGATGTGGGTGTGGAGGGAGAGGGGGGGGGGTCGCGAGACTAAGAGGCTGCCGAAAACGTTCCAGGAAGATACTGGATGGACAACGTGTACTGCGACGGCAGCGAGGACGAGCTCTCGAAATGTCGGTTCGACGGATGGGCCACTTCCGATTGCGAGAGCAGCGAGGCGGCCGGTGTAATTTGCGCCCGCGAAGACCAGGACGAGGTGGGGGAAACGACGGCCAAGAAGAAGCCCAAAAGGAAGCCGGAGAAGTCGAGAATCAAGGATATCCATCAGCAAGGAGTGGCGATAAGGCTGGCCGGTGGACGTGTGCACTCCGAAGGCAGAGTCGAGGTCAAGCTAGGAATCTCAGGTATAGTGTTCAAACTCAGGGACGTCCGACAAGCCTGCTCAGTCCATTTTTGGTAGGACTATACCGAGACTTTGAAGAACTAAAGGTGAACGTATTCGATTTTCGTGTTTTACCTTTCTTTCGTCCGTGAACGGTGGAGACTTTTGGTGACTGTACGATCAGTTCCTGGTTCAAAATGGATCAAAGAACTTTCGATTGAAATGAGACAAAGCGATGATTCTTTTTTACGTTAAAGCTCGAATGTTGCTGAACGAGGGAGAAATAAAAGGAATGCGGTATGAACATTTTTTAAACTCGATAATTTATGTTAACCTTGAAATGTACCAACAAAATTGTGACTTATGAAATCCCATGTACAGTTGGATTTTTTTATCGCTCTTTATATTTCATTTCCAAATTTATATATCTACTATTTCAGAATTTTGAAGACACTAACGAAATCGTGTGTAACATGTAACAAAAAAATCGAACTGTACATGATATCGGATAAATCACAATTTTGTTGGAATATTTCAAGTTTAATATAAATTTTCAGAGCTAAAAATATGTTCAATACTACGTTCACTTGATTTTTAAATAGTCCAAGTCTTTGATGAATTAGAGGTGAACTTATCTAATTTTCGTTTCTTTACCTTCCATTCGATCGTGAGAGATGGAGACCTTCGGTAATTGCAAGACCGCTTCCTGGTTCAAAATGATGTCGATTCTCTTGGTCCAAGCTGCGTTGTTCAAAGAACAAGAGCATCTTAATCGACCGTCTCGTGGCATCCATTAGGCAACGAGCGTCTCTGGTGACCATGAAATGCGTGCTCCTGCATTCTTCAAGATAATAGAACACTTGACGTGCTTGCGACTTGCTGCGCTCGCTATTTCTGGGTTCTTGTAAAATTCAATCGTGTTTGGCGCTCTATCCTGTTGAATAACACTTTTAGAAATCGCAGATGGCAATTTAATTGGGCAAGCAACGAGTTATCTTGAGATTGTTCTTGCGGTGGAAGTTGTTAAGATTCTTCCACGTCTCACGTTTCTCTCGGGACTGTTACCGTTAATGGGAAATTGTTAAACTTCTATATTTCACGCTTCTCTTGGGGGTATTGTTGTTGCTGGGAAATTGTTAAACTTCTACTTTTCGCGCTTCTGTTGAGGCTCTTCTTGTTGGCAGAGAATAGATAAGCTTCTTATGCAACCCCTGGCAAAAAGTGTTCAAAAATAACCATTTAAAATACCACAACTAAATTCGCTCTTTACGGCCAATTTAATTGCCCAAACCGATTGTTTCTCACTTCTAACTGTTGTTCCACTGCTGTTGATATTTTCAATAATTTCTCTGCTTTATTTAAACGCTTTGTTCTTACTGCAGCATGAAAATGGTCGTGGCGTATCATATTATGTTACATTTTTCCCTATTTTCTTTATTATTATTTTATATATCATTTGGCCGCAGCCACTGAAAGATGTAAAAATGATCCGTTTTGATCGAAATCCGTAGAACCTCGATTTTCACGATCTTTAATTATTTGTAACTCATAACAACGTGAATCAATTTCAATAAAATTTTCAATAGGTATTCATGTACAGTTATCGAGATTTACAAAAAGCATTTTTTAAATTTTCGTTCCATGTTCAGATAAAGGTGTTCAAAAATCAATATTTTCCAAGCAGCAGCAGCAAAATGAAGGAAAAGTATTTTAGTCATTGTCCAGGTAAATTAGTCTTTTACACATTTAAAAAGAAATTCAGGTTATTTGGTCCACAGTTTCAAAATAATTATTGCGTTTCAAGAGGTGTGCGAATATTTCTGGACCAAGGGTAGTAGAAACGATTTTTCTTCCAGAAATGTTTATACTGCCAGGCTTCTGGCGGCGTGAATCGAAGTTGTAGAAACACGGTGATCCACGATCGCCGTGCTGTCGGTCCCGCGTAAAATTCCACGCGAGCAAAGTGGATGAAAACGTTGCGGCGCGCCGAAGGATTTCAGGTTCCCGCGACGTGTCAATTTGGCCGCGGCGCGGTGCGGCGCAGCGCTAATAATGCCGATGGTGCAATTTTGTTTTAGATTGGGGTGTCGTCTGCGGTGACGGTTGGTCTCTATTCGAGGCGGCGGTGGTTTGCCGGCAATTGGGCCTCGGTTACGCCTCCGACGCCGTGCAGACCAACTTCTTCGGCGGCGAGAGGGCCCCGATGGCAATCGGCGGGGTGCAGTGTCGCGGGGACGAGAACAGTCTGACCGAGTGTCTGCACGACAAGTTTCTCGACTGTCCAGGTAAACGAAAGAACCGTCAGAACCGAGAGCACCATTAAAAACCGTTCCGCAATATCGGATCCGCGGTGAACCTTCGGCTGGGAATTTCCTTTTTCTCGGCACGGAGGATCGGTTTCTTTGCGCGGGCTCTTGTAGTTGAGGAACGTCACTCGGAAATCTCAAGTTAAAATTCGTCTGTATTAAGTTATCAACTATTGGAGCGTATGCTNTTATGCAACCCCTGGCAAAAAGTGTTCAAAAATAACCATTTAAAATACCACAACTAAATTCGCTCTTTACGGCCAATTTAATTGCCCAAACCGATTGTTTCTCACTTCTAACTGTTGTTCCACTGCTGTTGATATTTTCAATAATTTCTCTGCTTTATTTAAACGCTTTGTTCTTACTGCAGCATGAAAATGGTCGTGGCGTATCATATTATGTTACATTTTTCCCTATTTTCTTTATTATTATTTTATATATCATTTGGCCGCAGCCACTGAAAGATGTAAAAATGATCCGTTTTGATCGAAATCCGTAGAACCTCGATTTTCACGATCTTTAATTATTTGTAACTCATAACAACGTGAATCAATTTCAATAAAATTTTCAATAGGTATTCATGTACAGTTATCGAGATTTACAAAAAGCATTTTTTAAATTTTCGTTCCATGTTCAGATAAAGGTGTTCAAAAATCAATATTTTCCAAGCAGCAGCAGCAAAATGAAGGAAAAGTATTTTAGTCATTGTCCAGGTAAATTAGTCTTTTACACATTTAAAAAGAAATTCAGGTTATTTGGTCCACAGTTTCAAAATAATTATTGCGTTTCAAGAGGTGTGCGAATATTTCTGGACCAAGGGTAGTAGAAACGATTTTTCTTCCAGAAATGTTTATACTGCCAGGCTTCTGGCGGCGTGAATCGAAGTTGTAGAAACACGGTGATCCACGATCGCCGTGCTGTCGGTCCCGCGTAAAATTCCACGCGAGCAAAGTGGATGAAAACGTTGCGGCGCGCCGAAGGATTTCAGGTTCCCGCGACGTGTCAATTTGGCCGCGGCGCGGTGCGGCGCAGCGCTAATAATGCCGATGGTGCAATTTTGTTTTAGATTGGGGTGTCGTCTGCGGTGACGGTTGGTCTCTATTCGAGGCGGCGGTGGTTTGCCGGCAATTGGGCCTCGGTTACGCCTCCGACGCCGTGCAGACCAACTTCTTCGGCGGCGAGAGGGCCCCGATGGCAATCGGCGGGGTGCAGTGTCGCGGGGACGAGAACAGTCTGACCGAGTGTCTGCACGACAAGTTTCTCGACTGTCCAGGTAAACGAAAGAACCGTCAGAACCGAGAGCACCATTAAAAACCGTTCCGCAATATCGGATCCGCGGTGAACCTTCGGCTGGGAATTTCCTTTTTCTCGGCACGGAGGATCGGTTTCTTTGCGCGGGCTCTTGTAGTTGAGGAACGTCACTCGGAAATCTCAAGTTAAAATTCGTCTGTATTAAGTTATCAACTATTGGAGCGTATGCT